TGTCAATCACCTTGCAATGATGCTAGCAATTATTCCCATACGTGCTTGTGGCAGCAACTCCAACTATTCTCTTCAGCTGCAAAACTCACCCTACCATACAAATTGATATTGATACCCACCAGATTAAGAGACACCTGTGAGGGATCAGCCCTCAGGACCTGAGGCATTGGTGGGTTTGGTGTAGATACTCCATTGTAACCCCTCTAACAAAATCTCATTTGCATCCCAAAAGGCCTGAGAGGATGGAGGTCTGCATATGGCCTGCAGCCTGCAAGTACAGCAATTGAAATAAGGAGAGAGGGGCAGGGAGGGGGGAGGTCCAGTTCAGCTGCTCAGTCTTATGATTCAAACACACTTGCTCATCCATGTGAAACAAGGAAACTAGGCCTATAGAACAGGGGGCTGCAGTGGTGGGCTTTGGGAGCCTCACTGACACCAGCTCTCCCCCGTTGGCTGGCCCAACACTGGATCCAGGACTGGTGATTTTCTGTTATCTATCTTTCCAAACTTCTCTTCTGCTACTCCCTCTCTCTCTCCCTTCCTAACATCATTAAGTAACACAAGGCCTAACCATGATTTTTTCTCAGATTGTGCAGCTTAAACATACATGTATTGTATCCTTGTGATCTGATTGTCAGCTTTTATGATGATGCAGCCTAAGTTAATAATTGAAGTATCCGTATTCCTGCTATAGCTTTAAGTTAACCTAATATTCAAATACAGACCTTGAGTGTTTCATCTTAATCGGATCAAGGGGTATCAGACGGTCAAGCATTTCCTCAGACCATGACATTTTAATCACTCTCCCTGGAAGGGCCAGGTCTGAGACTAAGGTTGGATTCAGCTGCACAAAGGCTGCTCTCTGAGAAGGAATTCAGAAAGCAAGTGGGTCAAGTCTATATCTCCCTGGGTTTCCCTACGCAAGTCATGACACTCATCTGTTGTTACCATTTCACCATTGTGGCTCATCAGGGGGTTACGCTTTCTTTAACCTTCCTTTGCTGTTTTACATCCCTGTAGAAGCCCTTCTTGTTTTTCTTCACATCTCTTGCCAAGTTCAGTTCTAGCTGCACTCTGGCCTTCCTGACCTCATCCCTACACAACTAGGCAGCATCCCTACACCCTTCCCAGGAAACCTGCCCCCTCTTCCACTGCCTGTGCAGCTCCATCTTGCCTTTTAGTTTGACCAGAAGGTCTTGACTCAGCCACGATGGTCTCTTGCCTTGCTTGCCTGATTTCTTACACCTTGGGATTGAAGCCTCTTGTGCCCTATGTAAAGCAACCTTAAAGATCTGCCAGTTCTTTTCTGCTCCCTTGTCCCTGAGGACTTTTTCTCATGTCAATGTTCCCAATGTGGATTTTCAATTCACATCTTCTATTGCAGTATTCTAATGTATAGGACAAAGATGAAATGTGATTTGCTGAATGTATGTGGTACTGCTATAGAGTTTAACCGATTTTTAAAGTTTGTACCCTCATGGCACAAGCCACTGACAATTGTCAGCTAAATATTTACAATGAAATAGTGCTTTTAACTTTGATTCCTATGTTTTTGAGAGGTCTTAGAAGAGTAAATAAGAAAGCAAGCCTTGCCCTTAGGCTTGTTTGCTAAGCAAATATATCATCACCAGTACAAAGTGTCTGTAGATCAAAAAGGTTGAAATTTACTACAGTAGATGGAACAGAAATTCACCTCCTATTCTTGTGTACAAAAGGCCTGTTTTTCTTAATAGCCATTACTGGTAATGTCTATGTCCTCTTTCAGGCTAATCGGAGTGGCTCAGCCTGAAGAAGAGAAGATTCCAGAGGGACTGTATAGAGACCTTCTGTCCTGATCCTGGGATTTGTGCGGGGAAATAAAGAGAGAGAAGGTCAGATTTGTTATTTGGCTTACAAGTCCTTAGGAACAATGAGCTTAGAGCGTAGTCCCTGCTGTGCTGTCCTGGTGAGCTGCAGTGGCACAGAAGCTGGATGAGAGAGCTCAGCTGGGCAGGGGTTTGTTGCAGGCTGGTGCTGCTAGTGTCAGCTCTTTTAGGAGTTTGGACCAAAGGTAGGCAGGGGCTAACAACAGCCTTGGCTCCATGGTCCTGTGATTATAGCTCAGAATACTGATCAGCTCAGTTATGACCCAAATGAGCCTCAACCCCCAGACATGTCTTCCGGTGTTGAGCTCTGGGAGAGCCACTTTTCCTTGCTTCTTCACCTGCTGTGAACGCCTTTCCCTGTCCCCTGGTGAACACTGATCTGCTATACAAATCTCTTCCGCAATGATTCATTCTGCATCTCGGCACTCCTTTACTCACCCACCTGTCAAGGCTGGACTTCAGTCCCTGACTGGTGTGCAATTCTTGATCCCTCATTAGCATACTGGACAGACTAGTCAAGCATAGCTGCAAGGAGCCAATGGGATTTAGGCAAGTTTAGTTCACAACAATGTTGCTGTGTTTTCCCCCCCTTTACATCTATCAAGAGGCTCCTTTGTCCTTTAGCTGCATCCTTGAAAGTCTCTGTGCCTCTTTTCATTTAACCGCAGGAGTTAACGACAGGCACACCTTTATTAAGAAGACACGTTCTCCACACCTTCCAATACCTGGGGCATGTAACAATAGGACAAGGGGTAATGGCTTTAAGCTATAAAAATGAAGATTTATGTTGGACATTAGGGAAAAGTTTTTTTAATATGAGGGTGGTGGATCACTGGAACAGGCTGCCTAGAGAGTGGTGGGGGTGCCATCCCTGGAGACATTCAAGGTCCGGCTTGCTGGGGCTCTAAGAAACCTGATCTAGTATGAGATGTCCCTGCTTAATGTAGGGAGGTTGCAGTAGATGACCTTTTAGGTCCCTTCCAATCAAATATATTCTATGATTTTATACCTCTGTGCATGTACAGTGTTGCTTTACACAGCACACATTCTCATCTTCCTTGCCTGTACTGATCCACTAATGTATCCAGTCATGCAAGGCATCCCACTACCAGCTCTGATTCCAATTATGCTGGGGCTCTGTGACTTCATGGACTTCCATTTACCACTGTTTCCTAAGGTGCATCCTTAAAACTCATAATTCTTAAGTTTATACAAATTACATTCTTCAGGTTAGGAAAAATTCTATTCCCTATATTATCCTGGCTTTTTTAAAATGACAGTAAACTAGCTTGTTCATTAAACATGTGACATACAATGACATTGTTCGTTAGTGATTAATGATGACAATGATAGTGTGTTACCTGTTATGACACTGTGACTGCAGACATTGTGTATCTGTGTGTGTCTGTGTACACGTGTGCAGGGGGCCTTAATACACACTGAAAGACTGCAAATACCATCCTTTAAAAAATAATTTACTCATTATGAAGAAAGCAGAACTTGTTACTTGGTCTTGCATAGAAAAGATGTATTTATACTAGCTAACATAGCAACAGGTTGCTGCATTCAACCCTCTATAGGTAGATCAGTACAGAATGATTATGAACTAGCAGGAAAGTAACATACATCCAGTCACGAAGCATGAAATTTTCTCCCAAACACTCATAAATATTTTGTGTATTCTCTATTTTAAATAGAAAAGCATGTGCACCCTATTACAAAGGATAAAACACAAGAATTATCATTAAGCTTACCAAAGATTTTTCCTTGAAAGTCCCATGTCCTGATTAGAAGACATACAAAAACGTCTAGAAAGCTGAGTTAATTGTGTGTAAAGATAAAAAAGAAACACAACACTTCTTGTGTCTGCCCTAATTCACAAAAAACAACAACAACAAACCAAACCAAAAACACACCTTCTCAAACATAATGGTTATGACATAGCTGTGTTGAGCATCCCACATATTTACCACATTGAGGGCAGTTACAGCTCTATATGTGCCATGTAGTCATTTATCTGGGTACCTTGAAAAAAAATGTGAGACTATTGAATTTCTGTGGAGAGGGAAGAAAAATAATAATCCCAAAATGAAACAAATACATGCATAGGCAAGAAATCCAAGGCAAGTTTCTGAAATTCCCAATAAGGGAATTTTCCAATAGTTAAAAAAAAAAATTAAGAAGGTGAAAGACTGGGACTATCCCAGAGGACATAAATTTGGAAAATGCAATTCCAGCTCTAAAATGCTGTATTACTTTTCACAAAACTATTTGCAACTGTGTGGAAAATTTCAAGCTGAGTACATTTCATATCTGCAAATGGCCATGACTATTTGAGTGACTGGTAAGTCCTATGTATTCGGTAAGTGTCCTGATGTGCTAATGATTCTGTTTAACATCTATTCATGACATCATAGGTATGTCCCATTCAAGCTAATAATTTAACTGCAACAGAAAGCAGAAGATGCTCAAGTTTGTTATGGTTGGTTAATAAATAAGATAAAAAATAAGAATCAACCAATTCATACACAGTAGTTTGTTTGCTTCTAAGAGTTTTGGTCTGGACTGACAACTCTCCCACAGTCACTATTTTTTGTTTAGGCATTTGTTCTAGAAAAAAATACAGAGGAATTTGCTCTTTTGAAAGAGATACAGTATTTTTGTCAACCTACTAAAGTACCACATACAGTATATTTTCTTTGGTTGGGAACTGCCACTGTCAAGATCTCCCCTGACTAAACTTACTAAAGGTGTGATGCGCACCACAGCCCCATCAAGGCTGTGTTGATGAACTAACCTAGTATTAGGTGTATTTACAGAAGGCATCAGATTATCAGAAATACTGAGAAAAGTTTGCACCCTGAAGATGCCAGCATGAAACAAAAAGAGCAAAACACCCAGATTGCCCCTCAGAATCAGTGCATCCTTAGCTCCTGAAATCAAGCAATCCCACTTGTACTTCTTAGTCAGGACTACAAATGGAAGAATGCTAATTATTGAAGTACATGTAATGAAATATATGCAGATTTTGCCTTATAAATCCCCATTCTGACAGTGCTGCCAGGAAAAGATTCTCACTTCATCTGAACTACAAAACACCAACATCTCTGTACAGTAAAACAATGCACAGCTCCATTACTGTGAATTTCTATTATTTGTTTCTTCCAGAAGCCACTCAATTCCACGTAGCAATCCAGTTAATGTTGCAGCTACAGTGTCCCTCACCTGAAAAAAATGAAAAACCCTAATGCATTAGAGGTAACAAGTAAAAGGATCTAATAGTGTTTTAGCATCATTGTATGTCTATCCTTAAAGTCAGAAATATGTAATTTTTTTTTTATCACTGGTTCAAAGGTCCATTAGACAGAAATGGTTTTCAGTGAATTAGTGACAAAAAAAGCCCAGTACTCTTTACAAAATTAATCATAAGACCCATTAGGAAAGCCTTGAATTCTTGGTATCAAGGTGAATTTTATCTCAATTGTTCCATCAGCTATTCTGGAACATTATACTTTACAGATTGAGCATCTACTTGAGAATTCTTCTTGTAACTCTTACAAAAAGAATGCTGCTCGCTTTAGATTCAAAGTATATTACCAATTCCCAGACTTTGAAACATATTATGAAGTTGGTGTTATAAATGGTATGCCATTTTAAAAGTCTTAAAAATTTTCTTTATGAAAACAAAGGAATTATTTCAAATCAACTTTTTTTTTTTTTGAGTAAGTAGTATTTTTTGGCTATACAACATCACCAAAAATCAATTACGTGCAGCTGAGCCATACTGATAAGCACAGTACTGGTTCTCTCATGCTAAAATTGATTTGTCCAAACCTCAATACACCACCTCAAGTGAATGACAATTAACAGTCTCCTGAAAATACCAGAAAAATCTACCCTGTGCCCAAGGTCTTGGTTTGCGACTCAGGAAATTTAGATTAACTGAAGCTTCCTTACTCCCTTCAAGACCAGGATTTTTGTCCTTCCTAACATTCTGGCTTCATCTGAAGTTTCTTGTGGGGTTCCTGGGCAAGCCACTTAGCTCCCCTATGTTCAGATAGGCCACTGCTTCATCTTGGGGGAATGGAGAACTAAATTCTTCCTTGTAGTGGAGAGGTCATGCACTAGTCTTGAAAGCTGCACATTTGCTTAGGTAGGTACAGTTCAGGAACTACCATAAGCCTAAATTAAATTTAAGCCACCAAGAAATAGCAAATAAATGTTTAAAAGAAGTACCATCCAGGGCTGACGTAGCAGATTTAGTTGCAACTGGTGTGCCATGTAAACACACGGAATTCTTTTCACACCACCATGAGAGATACAAGACAAAACTAGCAGAGGTCTGTTGGGAGGCCCGAGGGCTGGATCAAGCATTGCCAAAATACGAGCCAGCTCCTCTTGACGATCGTGCTCTAAGAAAAAAAAAATAATACGTAAGTACTAAATATATGCAAATCCCAAGGATAACTTTTTTTTTTCTTTATTTTTTTAAACTTTCAAGTATTTAATATTTCAGAGGTGAGGAAACAGAGGGCTGGAAGGGCCATGGCCAAGTTCTGCTTATCACAAGGCTGGATCAAATGCACTCCTGTCATACAGGTATTCATGTCAATGTCACACTTGGATGACACTTAAAGACCTCCATAGATTCTACAGACAGTCTATTCCAGTCCTTATCATCAAAGGATTTTCCAGGTTCTTCACCAAGATCAAAACTGTAACAAGCCTTTAAGAAATATTCACACATTGCACAGCCAGCAGATCTTCTTTACTAACTGTACTTTTCTCTTTAGTATATACCTTCACTTTTTTTTTACGCTTTTCTCTTCTGAGCTAGCCCCTTCCTTCCACTCAAAGTTGACAAATGTAAGACAATTACCACAATAGGTATTTATATTATCCTCTTACTGGACTATCCTGGTTTGAACTAATTTCATCTTCTACTGGGAAAACTGCAGTTTTCCCAGTAAAGCTTCTGTTTCCAGGCTATTACATCTCCACGGATACAGTTCAGGCTTCCTCTCCTTCCCATGACCAGGGTTGGTTTTTGTTTGTTTGTTTTTAATCTAGATCATCACTTACATGTAGTTTAGATAGCAACCCTATCAGTATGCACCATAAACAAAACAAAGAGGACATAACCCATCACAGTGAGATGAGGGAGCATGTTTAGGTTAGGGGACCTCCTCAACTGGAAAAGCTATGAAGAAACAGCAATAACTGAGCAGATTTTGAAACAATCAGAACATGGATTTTTATGTATTGGATATTCTTTTATGACATTTCAGTAATTCATAACTATATATTAAATAAAGAGAAAACCCTTACTTTTATGAGCTTCTGCATTAGCAACATAAATGAATCCATCAACTACTTGGCACACCTTTTTCACTTGAGCTATTACAGCATAGTGCATGGCTTGCTGATTCCCCGCTACACTGTTCTCTTGGTAGAACATCTTATTCACAGCAACAGCTTGCTCTTCCCTTGCTCTCCTCCTTTCCACACTGAAAGATATTTCAGTATTTCAGTAGTCAGGTTAGTTGAGAATGCAACAACTCAATTTTGAGAGTCTAGGCAGCAGAGGAAAGAGAAAGGAAAATGGCCTGAGTCAGCAAACAGTTTCATTTCTCCCCACCCCTGCTTCTTTTCTAGTGTACATATATAGCAATCTGGTAAGCAATCTGCAAGAAGCATATGAAAAAATAACCCAGGGTGACCCTGTAGTGTTTCAAAAGGAACTCAATCAAGGTATCAAAAGGGACAGAAGCATCTCTTATGTATTTGTCACATGCACTTGCTATGTGTAAGGTATGGAAAAGGTTTATTACTTCCACGTGAAAATGCAGTGGTTGGAGAAGCAAAGAAAAAGTGAAGATACTCATTGAAGCTTCAGTTTGTAAGGGATAACCATGCATGTGAAGGCATGCATGTGAAGTACATGACAAAAAAACATGAGGAAAAGTATGAATTAACTGAGAAACTGTATTTTTTGGTGCAGAATGCATCTCACCTGGTAGTTGAGTACAATGTTAGAATATTGAATTTTTGATAGTTATTAAACTGAAAACTGACTCCTGATCCAATTCCTACAGGAGAAAAATGAGTACGTGAGATTACAACTATGCTATAAAATTCATATATTGACACCTAGGTGCTGCTTTTAGGGGCAGCATATTAATTATTTTATAATGAAATTTTATACTTACTCTAAGTGATCAGATTATTAATTTAATTCAAATCAAACCAATAGAAAGAAAAGAAAACTAGGATGCATTTCCATGTTTCTGATACTTAGATTTCATCCTAGAAACCTATGTCAGGGAGCAGCTAGGCTTGCGTTTAAAAGCTGAAACTGGCACAGCAAAGACTGTAGTCTGTTTAAGACATGCTGCATTGAAAAGGACTTAAGACAGAAAAAAGATAACACTAATAAATTATATTTTCAAACTTTCTATAAATACAATTTAATTATTCCAATTCTGTTGTTGTGAAATAAACATTAATTTAAGAGTTATGCATTTTTATCTCTGGTTTGGACTGAAGTGAAATTACTGATGTTCAAAACTATGTTTTTAACATTGAAAAAAAATCTTTCACCTGCTCCACACTCTTTTAAATGAAATTTACACCATTTGGCACTACAAGACTGAATCATATAAAGGTCAGTTTTGACTTTCTCTATAAAAACATGCGCACGTTTTTTAGCCATTTACTTCAAACAGTATCTAAAAAACGTTCTATCTGTGTTTATCCATTAGCACAGCAGTAGTGACATGGAACTTAGGATCAAAATAGAAGCACAAGGAGCAAAACAATCCCTCTGACACTGTGAAAATTTAAGAATAAACTCAATGTAGCTCTAATTTTATCCCAAATGTTCATTGCATTTATCCTTCAGAATAGTGAGAATTTTTTTTTTTTTTTTACCATTATGCTATTAAGTTTCAAGGAGATAAAAATTCAACCCTCTTCCTCATGTCTTCCAATGTTTCTTTTTGTTTTTTATCTGTTTAAAAAATAAAAAAGCCAAAAAATGAAATCAGCATTACCATCAATTTGTCTTTGAGGTAGGCCAACTACCTGCAGAAGGTCTGGGCGTGTCATCATCTTTTGCACTAAGGAGTCATCCAGCTCTTCCAAACCCGGTCCAAACATAGCAAAGCGAGGTTCTGACAGAGTGACCAGTGACTGCAAGAAGGATGTCACTGCCTCGTACCGGGAACGGCTCGATTTCAAGCTTCTTCTACCCTGAGGACAGCTTTTCTTATATCTGTGTAAAATAGATGCAACTAGAAATTAAACACAAAATATAAAAGAGGAATTAATCAACTAATATAAATTGATTAGGTCCCACACTTCTCATGATGTGTTAACAGAACAACTAAGGCATAGGTCAAAAAAGATAAAGCTCCACACTAATCGTTTGAAGCACCAGTACAAAGCAGGGCAAGACACCAGTACTTTCAAAGTCCAAATACTGATTTTTTGGACCTTAGTACACTTTCATCTGTGTATCTTTTAGTTTACTTTAAAAACTAAAATAAAATATTATTACAAATTCCCCCACCCTCACTTAACACACAATATTGATAAAACAACTAGAAAGCTGATGAGTCACATACAGTACGAAAAACATGAGCCTTCTGAGTGCTTTTCAAACCTTCATTAGACTGCTTTTGTGTTTATTAACTATGAAGCAGGTAACCCCACCTGAAAAGAAACATTCCCCTTCCGGCAAAAGAGAATGTATATTGTGAAAGGAGACGGGTGTTGTCTGCAAGCTTGTGTGCTCTTTGATGCAGAAGCTGGAAGGCATGAAAAGACTTTGGCAATGAAGCAACAGAGGTAGCAGTCACAGAAGTGACAGACATCCTAGAGAAAGTCTTTTCTTCTGTGGTCATGGTAGGCTGCTGTTGGACACAGCACTTCAACTAAACGTTCCATGTGAGCTCCTCTGCACCCAAGCTGAAAAACCATTAGGTGCTTACAGACATGACACAAATCAGTTTCAGGTGGTTTCAGACAGGTGACACTCTCAAGTATTCAGACCTAAATAGACTTAAATCTCATGTTCAACAGATATGTTGCACTTCTATTTATAGGTGCATTTCTCTCATCTGTGAAGTGGGGCTGAAAGGCAATGACGGCAGCGGTGTGAGTGCACCTATCATGAAGAAACAGTTTCATTAAATCGCCTTTGAAAAATTTAATTGCAAATAAATTGAGAGAATTAAGTAAAAAAAACCAAACACCACCACTGAATAATCTACTTGGGAGTTCTTCCTAGTCCTCCCAACAAATTACGAGTGTTGCTATGCTTTTCAGCTATGCAAGCACAGCTGAACCCACAATGGTTGTCTTACTGCCTTTAACCACCAGAGTTAAAGTGATCCTAGCTTTTCTGTGCACGTTAAAAAAACCCAAACGAAACAAAACAAAACTTTCTTTTTTCTTATAGGTCTTCCAGGTAAGATTAAAAAAAAATGAAATATTAATTTTGAAGTTTGAAGACAGCAGTTGAAGACTTCTTAGTACTTTTATTAAAATAGGAAATACATTGTCACTGTATGCACAGCTTCTGAGATTACTGTATTTCTGTGGCACAGTGGACATGCAGTTTACAAAATGCTTTTATTTAAAAAATATATGTTAGCTTTGACTTTTTTGACAACATTTTACAATCTTGTGGGATTCCAAACAGAAATTGCAAACCAAACTGTCCAACAGCAGGAAATTTTATTTCCAAAAAAATGGATTTGAGAGACACAGAAAGTTAAGCAGTGGCCTACAGCACAGCTTTAGTGCTGTAAATATAGAACTTGCCTGTGGGCTGAACATTACTGCTGCAGAGAGAAAGTGGGTTGCGCTTGGGAACAGGAAGATACTTACATTGCCATGTAATCATACAGTGCATCATCGTTGACCTCTGAAAAGGCTTTATTAAAAACCTCTGCATCTGGGAGCGACTTCCAATCCACAGACGTCCAAAACGGGATATCCTTCAGGAGAAAACACCTCCACAACAGCGGATCTCGCACGGCCGCCCTCCAGTAGCAACTCGTGCTCCCCAAATGACATAGATCTTGTGGGGACAGGTAGGACAAGATGTTCAGCTGCACGTCGATCTGCAAACGGCGGAGAGCAGCGGTTGGAAGATGCAAGAGGTGTGGGAGACAAGCCTCACACACACACACACACACACACAACCCCCCCCATCCCCCGGGCCCCACTCACCGGCAGTGCCTGCAGGGCGCTCACCTCCTCCGCGTCCTGCGGGGGCGCTGGGCGCGGGGCGTCAGCGGTCCCGCCGCGTTCGCGCATCCCCC